AGTTAGAAACTTTTGAGTTTCCTGTGATTTCTAGTACCTGTGCTGATAGTTTGTTGGGATCCTTTCTTCCAGCTTTACCTCTATAGAGTTGGGCCACAGGTTCTATAATGTTTCTATTTATGCTTTTGTCCCACCTCTCAGGATCTCCCATAATCACTCACCTCAATATGCCACGGTACATCTGTTGCTTTGGTGTTTCTTTGTGCAGGAGCATGAGTGCTAGGTGCCTCTAACAAACAATCAGGCTGTTGCCTCTCACTTTTGTTTAATATATTCTGTATATTTTTTACTACTTTATTTCCAGGTTATTTAAACAGATTAGATGTTTAGTATTATACCTTCACTTTTACAGAGTTGGGAAATAGTAAATCTGGGGGTTAACCCAGTTTTGGTTGGTGCTCTATTAATAATTGAACATGACAGCAGAACCTCTCCAATGCCAAGTGTTTTATCTCAGTAAATTGTCCCCTAATATTTATGTCAGGAAGAGTGAATGATGTTCTCCCATTTTACTAACAAGGGTAATGAGACCAAGTGGATGGACTGCTTGCCTGAGGTCAACATGACTAGGGAGAGTGACAAGGTCTACAGAACTTGGTCGTCTCTCATTAGAGGACTTTGCTGTCTTAGCCCCAGACTTCTTCCAGAATTCTCTACACTACTAAATGGGGGATCTTCTTTTTTAAAAAAAAAAAACAAAAAAAACCTCAACCAACCAAAACATTCATTTCCAGAGCTTTCAAATTTTGTTTTAATGTATCCAGGCTTATTTGTTCTTAAGGAGCCTAGAGAGAAGAAACCCAAAATGAATTAGAATGGTTGGTTCTGTGGTTTGATGGAAAGAATATGGTGCCAAGCTTCTGGAAACCTCGGTCATTTCTTTTCTACAATTTGCTGGCTTTGCGTCTCAGTCCACCTTTCTCTTGTTGGGCACTTTATCAGGTGAGTAGGACTATGCAATTTAAGTCCTTTTCAGCTTTACCACTCCACACTTTCATGGTGGAAAAATGGGCTTTAGAGAGCAAGGGGAATTGAGGTTGACCTTCTGTTGAGAGATGACTAAGATGTGTCTTAACTGGCTTCAAATATTGTTGCAATGACTTGTTTGTATCTCTAATATTGACAGAAATATCTTGGAATAAAGCAAGAGAAAAGTTTGGCTTGATGTAGAAGACTTCTATACTGCTGAATAAATTCTGGAGTCAGGGCCCAAGAGAAAGGGTAGAATCGCCATCAGTGAAAAAATTAGCATTCGTCTATTGGGGCTTAAAGTGGACTTAACAGACAGGATGAATTGATAGTTTGACAGGTATTAACTTAGGCATTTGGATCCAGAAATTGGCCGATTTTCTTGGGGTTGTGGCTCACCTAGCATGCATGAGGCACTGGGTTTGATCTTCACCCCATAAAGGTATTGTGTCCACCTACACATAGAAAACCATTTTTTGTTCTCGTAACAAGGTTGGAAGTACCCAGGACCAAACATTCACAGAGAGGTCCATTGTACAGCTTCCCCTGAGAAGTGAAATATGTCTTACCATTATTAAGCCTTAAGAGCAACAGAAAAAGACTAGTTACAGAAGTGTTTTACTGTATCAGTTATAGGGTTACAAACTTTTCTTCTTTCACCTGTCAAAAGGGCATGTTAAGCCGTTCCTAATCCAGTTTCTGCAATTGTCAATCAGGGTGGCTTCCCTCAGGTGCTTAGCTGAGGGTATAACCTCAGGCATTCAGAGTTGAATCGGGCCCTGCTCTTGTGCAACTCTTCCAAAAATTAAAGACTTAGTTTATCTGTCAGAAGGCATCAAGACTTTTCTAGTGACTTTGTTGACTAATGCTGAAAACATATCTGTGCAAGCAGTGGTTATCTCACTAGAATGTATGTTACTTCCAGGAAATGCCTTTGATAAGGATGGTGCTAGGGGGTACTTTCACTATCTCCCTCTCAAATCAGCCCCCTTTTCTGCTATAGGCCACCAACACTGCCCACCTGAATTAAAGTACTGATTTCTTCACTTGCCTCTGCACACCATTCTCAAATAGTGTCATTTCCCTGATTTTAAAACTGACTAGAAACCCCACCCCCAGTTGCTTTTGCCACTTAGCACAGTGTGTAGGAATTAGAAATAACTGTTTACATGGGAACAGGGGATAAGCTTATTCACTAAACAGTCTCACCAGGCACAGTGGTAAATGCCCATAATCCCAGTGGTTCAGGACGTTGAGAAAGGAAGACAGCAAGTTTGAGGCCAGCCTCAGCAACTTAGTGAGACCATTTCAAAATTTTAAAAACGGAGGCTGCTGGAGATGCAGCTCAGTGGTAAATTGCCCCTGAGTTAAATCCCCAGTACCCACCCCTCCCCAAATAAACCTTCTCCCAAACTGCCTGGCTGCCTGTGCTTGAGGAAGTGTCCCATCAGTTTGGCAGGCCTGGGGAAGCAAGCACCAACTGGGTTCCCAGAGCCAGCTGTTCTACAACTGGGGTTAGTCATTTCTGTAGCCAGGACTAAGAAAACCATCAACAGGAACCTGTGCTGAACATTGCTTTGCTTCCTTCTCTAGCAATAAACACCTCAGAAATCACAGCCAAGGGCTTAAAAGTCTTGTCCTTAGATCTAACATCCACATGCTTCCCTGTTCCAAACTCTGGGGATCAGGTACAGGAAGCACAGACTCTCCTGGGAAGCTGTATCAGTCATTTTGATGGGTCATTGAGCGGGCAGAGTGCTCTGCACTGCTTATAGTCTGGCAGGGCCAGTGGAAGTCAGTGCCCCAGCTCCTGGCTGTCCACGTACCCACTTCCACCTCTTGCCAACCCTTTCACAGCTTCCTCTTTATCCTATACTGCTGAGCCCCAGCAGAGTGCCTGGGTCACTGTTCCCTGCAGCATTCACCCCACACTGGGGATGAGCTCAACTAAAATGTTGCATGAGTGATGAGCTTAGGTACAATATAATCCTAAGAAGGCCTGCCACTACTAAAAAAATGTTCCCCCAAAACGGTGATAGAAACCAGGCCCTGATTGCCTTTTATCTAGTACTTGGACCAAGTCAAAGGAATTGGTATGCCTCCTGCTGAAGCTTTTTTAAAGCTGCTCTCCTCAAGCATCAACTTGAGTGAAGTATGATAGGCTTGAAAATTTGAAAAATTCATATTTAACTGAAACTTTTTGGTTACTTATAATCACTACCAAATAAGTTAGGACTTTATAAATATTATGCTTCAGTATCAGACAAACCTGAACATCTCAGTGGTGTGGGTTAGAACAAAGGTTATTTAACAGTCGTCATGGTCCATCTTGAAATATGTCAGGGGTGCTGAAAATATAGGTCTAAGTGTTCTAGGTGTTTTTAAAGATCGGCCTCCTAAGTGGCTTATATCCCATCTCTTCATGGTCCCAAACTCCAAGAATAGGAGCCCATGGATCCTGGGCAAGGCTACCATGTGTATTTCCTGTCAGCACTGTGATCAGCTACTATCCAGACTAAGTACTTCATGTATGCTCACAAAAATCTGATAAAAAGGGGCTAAAGGTACTCATCTTAATACTTGAGAACGCAGAAATTAACCTGAGATTACATGCATAGATTGTGCATCCTAACCAGTTCTGTCCAGTTCCAAAGCTTGGAGGGGCTTTTCTATCATATGAACCCTACATAAAATAGCATCACCACTTGATAAACATAGATTTCCTCCTGCTCTCCAAGTATCAGTACTTTAACTTTGTGGCCCTGTCACTTGAGAGCAATATACCTACATTTCTTTAAACACATGGGGCAAGAATTTATCTCCTTCCTCCTCCTGACCCTGCAGAGGTGCCCAAGTGAATCTTGGAAATACTTTCTTGGTGAAAGAATTGGAATTTGTCCTTCGCTTCCTAGGAATATCACACTTCAGTCACCTGATCACCCTCAACTCCCATTCCAACAGCCACAACCTCACAGACCTACATGCACAAGCTACCACAAGTCTGCAGCTTTTACAAATGCTGGCCTTCCACCCTGTCACAAGAAAAGATTTCCTTCAGGAGTCCTCCCACTTGAAATGCACATGCAGGATATTGGGATTGAGTTTTAGGGCCTTGGTGGTTCATTTGGAAAAAGCTATGATTCCACTCAGAGATCCTGTGGCTATTGGTTCTCAACCTTGGCCACACCTTAGAATCCCCAGTATGCTTATGAAAATCCCCATGGCCAGGCCACTGCCCAGACCTTTCATTCAGTCTGGGAGTAGGCCCTGGGCATCAGTATTTTTTTTAAAGCTCCAGTGTGATTCAGGAGGCACCAACTTGAGAATCTCTACTGTAGACTAATGTTTTGCCAGAATCAGCAGGAGTGTAGAAGAGGGAGGAAAAAAATCAAGACCACCTGGAATTATTTGTTAGCCTGACAGTAGGGCAAACTGAGGAATTCAAATTAGTTAGTCACCTTTAATTTTTTTCCCCCACGGCAAATATAGCCAACGTAAATGCCAATTAATAATTGAAAAATGTACCCAAAGTTGAATAAGATAAGGTCTTCCAGCCTGGGATTGTATACTAAAAGTTTCTAGAGTGGTTTTCATCCAGCCTCTTAGAAATAGTAGTTTTTTTTTTTTCAAAGGAATGATCCTTTAAGCTTTGTGCCCAGAAAGATTTGTATTAAGTCAAAATGCTGTATAGATACTAATGACAGTATAATTGTGGAAAATGTTATTTTTAAAACTAGGTATCTTTAAGAAAAAAGTCTAAAACTAGGTGTCTTTGAACTGGGCCTTCAACCCTTCTGAGGGTTAGGTGGGGGTTTGGCAAGAGGGAACCACTAAATGATATAGCTGTACACAGGTTCTTAATTCTCTTTACAAACATTACAGATGAGTTTTATTTTAATAAAAGCTTGGGAGCATGCTTATAAACTTAAAGTGGGGTTTTTGGTTTGTTTAGGAAAGGTATCCATCTCCAACCCCCATGCCCTCTTTGCTTACCTGGTGGCATTTAAATGTCATTTTCCATCTTTCTACAGACGGCGAGAAAGCACAGCATGCCCAGCTGGCTCTGCAGTGTTCCATAGGAGCTTTGTTCTCTTCCCACAAGTCATCAAGCTGCCAGGAGTTAGAAACTTATAAAACCTGAATAACGGATGAGGAGTGGAGTCCTTTGGACATTAGGCCAGGACTTTTGTTGTCACATGATAAATACTCACAAGGCACTAAACTCAGATGATTTATTGCTTTAAGTAACTAAACAAGAGAAGAGACAGGCTGTTGTTTCAGTCAAGACAATCGGCATTCTCTCTCCAAGGTTTGCCAGATGCGTCTACTTAAAGCCTTAGCAATACTTTCTGAACAATATAAACACATGAGACACAACATACATGGGTAACAACTTGGCCAATGATACACTGATTAAAATAGCACATAACAATGGCACCCAGCCAGCCTCGATGCTTTGAAATGACAGAAGTAACATATTCCTAGGATGTGCTGAATACAAAAAAAATTTTTTTGGCATTAATACTAACACAGAACACCTTTAAACATTCTGTAAGAGTAGGTGCACAAAGACTCACCTCTTCATTTCCAAATTGCAAGTATCTAGGACTGTTTTGAGAAAAGCCAGGAAGCTGGACATCTCCCCTCCCCAATACTGTCACTTTCTTTGCCAAAGCAGCAAGGGTCTAGCTGGAGAAGAGCCCATAGGGCTCCAGGGGGTAGTTAAAAGTCACCAGGTAGCTGCTGTGCAAAGCAGCAGGGGACAGACAACTGCTCTGGCAGGGTGCGAAGGGAACAACAGCCTTGGTTTAGAGCCAGGGATGACCATAGATTTGACCCAGATTCACCCTGGTGGTCCTTTGGGGGTGGTATAGGCACTGGATGGTCCAGACCCTCCCTCAGGAGGAGTGGTGGAGCCAGAGCTGGGCCTCCAACCCTGAGGTCTAAAGGAAGTAACCTGACCTAGCATTCTAATACAGAGTCATTATGCCACCCTCCAATCAGATGTGCAGAAACCAACACTGGAAGGGCCTGGGTGAGCTCACAAGGAGAGGTCAAGCCAAAGGGTAATACACAACACCAGGGCAAACCGGCTGCTGGCAAGATGCCTCCGGTTTGCCAGATCATCTAGCTTCAGCGTAACCTGCCTAAGACTCAGTTTTCTTCTGCTGGAGCAGGTTCTCCAGCAACTTCCTCTGCACCCCTATTCCCAGCATCCTCTCCCGGATTGGAGTGCCCGTAGGCCACCGGGGCCCTGGTGAAGCTGGCAGGACCATTCTGCACAGCCCCACACTCTGCAGGCTCCCCTCCCAGATAGCTGGCAGGGGCCATCTCTTCTCTGACCTCTTGAACAGGAACCTTCATCATCTCAGAGGCACCATCCTCCTGTTGCCTGTCCAGCACACAGTTTCCCACATCTCCATCTTTAGAGAACTGGTCTTCTAAATTCTTCTCGTTTTCTTCTGCTAGTCGTTTGTCTCTGGCACTGAGTTTGCCTTTGGATTTCCTCATCTGCCTGCTGTGTATGTCTTCTCGGGAGAATCGCCACTGAAACTGGAAATCACGAGAATGGGATAAATACACAGCCTCTCTGACCTCAGCTTCCTGCCCAAATCAACTGACCAGACCCAACTGCCAGGATTCCTGAGTCAACACCAACCCATCTATCCATCTGTTCATGTCTTAGAGAGTTGATTCTAAATGTGGATTTGGGGGTGCTGTGGGGTGTGCGTTCTGATGCATCCCTTACCAATGTGGCAAAAGGAGTCCTGAAATCCTGTTATTTGGAGTGCCAGGAATAGCTCCTTGGGGCCATTTTTGCAGCTACTCATTTCCAGTCTGAGCATACTGTGGGTTCCTAACTAAGCACTGGGCCTGCATTCTCTCCCCAGCTTACTAAGTTAGGGCACAGGCCATGGGGCAGATGCTGTTCCTGTGTCACCCAGAGCCCTCTGCAGGACTGACAGATTCTTTCCTCAGCTGCAAGGACTGCTGCCAGCCCTCTCACCATCTTGCCTATGGTCCCTCCTCTGCCCATGGTGACCTAGAACAGCTAGTCCAGGTGGTACGTAACAGCTCATCACCTTGACCTAACTCTGAAAGGCCATCCCGGCTCTAGAGCCACCTCGGGGCTTGTGACTGCATCATAGCCCAGGTTTTCCCTCTGTTCCCTCCTCCACCCGCCAGATGTCTTAAGGGCACACCCTCCAAAAACTTCCTCCACCCAAATCTATCTAGGAGGCTACTTCGCGAGAAGCCCAACTGGCAACCAAACAGAGCTGAGCCAAGAACCCTGGTCTCATCAAAGCTCTGCAGCAAGACTGCCCAGGAGAGGCCCAGCCCTGCCACTCCCTGGACAGATTGCTCAACTTGTTTTCTCATCTGTGACCCACAGGATACACAGGGGCTTTCATTTTCAGTTCCCATCATGGTCACTTCCTTCCACTTCAGCTGAACCACAGTGGTGACACCAAATATGTACTTTAATTAGACACTGTGATTGAAGGAAGCCTTTGGTTCCTACAGTGTATCACATGGCTAGAGAAGGGGGCCCAGGACTGCAATTGCACCATCAGTGGGAAACTTACCATACACATACGTATGAGTACTTTGCTATGAAAAACCAAACATATGTAAATTTTTAAAAACCATCCCACCTTTGCAGAGTTTCCCGTGGCAGAGATCTATTTCCTTAAATAAAACATTTGCAGAAACACAAGATACTGAGATTTGATGCATTATGGGATTCCCTGGATTTTAACCCCTTTTGGACAAAACTGGTAAATTTGAGTATTCCATCACAGTAGAGAAAAAGGAGTGAAATACGTGTTGAAGTCAGGATTTGACATGTATCCTATTCTCCCCTACCCAACCCTCAATAAGTTCACTTTACAATGTTGGATGGGTTTCCCTCTTTGTCACTCATTTCTTGGGACACTTATACTGCAGACTTTCCTTTGGGGGGACGGTTGGAACTTCTTCCACCCAAGCTACTCATTTCCATGGTAGGATCACTCCACTGGCTAAGCGGCACCTCAGACCCTACTCAGCTTATAGATGTGCACACTTCAGCCAAGACTGCCCAGCCAGCATTTTAAGGAGCCACCATCCACCAGGAGGCGGCCACCAATTTCAGGCCTCAGTGGCTGCTGCTGCCTGCCACACTGATGCCTTGTGATATGCAGTGGCCATTATACCTTGATTCCAGCCCAAATGGAAGAGCCCTTTTAAAAAATGGACATTCCCAAGTAGTCAGAACCTCTTCCCATTTTACGTATTTTTAGAGAGGCCAGTTAAGCCTGCCTATATATAAATAATCCTCAAGAGGTGGTCAACTATTGAAGAAATCAGGAAATTTTACTTGTGCAATTGTTTTGGCTAAGAGGCCCTTCATGCTAAAATGTCAAAGTGCTGTGGCAGCTAAGCCCAAATTAAATGCATTCTGGTATTTGTTAGCTGTCGGTCCTTGGGCAAGTGATTACCCTCTGAATCTCTGTCTAAAACAGTTCCTATCTCTAAAATAGTTGTCTCTGGGCCAGGGTCCGTCCACGCCATGGCTGATGTGAACAGCACCCTCTGAAATTGTATGGTGCACTGCCACCAGCCAGACCTTCCACCCTCAAGACTTGTCAGTTTCTAACATGATCCCAGATATCTTCTCAGGGACTGCTCTTGCCAAATATGCAGAACTCCCACAGTCCCCTCTGGGTGCCTGGCCACATTGTTTCCTGTTCACATTTTGTTGATCTCCGACAGTTGTCAAGACTGTCAAAGAAGTGCACAGGCCGTGGGAAGGCCCATAGCAAGCACACCAGCCACTTTCTCCAGGACTCTTCCTGGACTATTGGGCAGAGAAAGATCTTAAACTGTCAGTGGTGAGCTGCGTGGGAATAGCCACTTTCTGTCCTTCAGTGTCATCATGGAAAAATCTAGGACTACAGTTGTCTGTGCCTTCAGATGGATTTGTGGGTGACCTCATGACTCCTACCACAGCTGTCATGGGTGCTGCAGACAGATTCCCAGGAAGCTCTGACCCAGGCCTTCCCTTTTCCTTTGTTTCTCCTTGACCAGGGGAGGCTCTCAGGGAGAGACAGTGGCTCAAACTCAGGGATACATAATCTGGAAGCTGAATGTTGAGGGTCACGAAGGCAGACTGCCTTAGAACAGATGCTGAGGAAGGAACAGGAACATACCAAAAGAGCCACTGTGTCAATATGGATCACAGGTTCTCATTTCCCTGAATTCCAAAGCAAGACCCTCATTCAACATTATTAGTGCTGTTTTAAAGGTGATCACAGAGATTCAGAAAGGTTATGCAACTTGCCCCAAATCACACAGGTGGAAAATAGTGCTGGAATTCAAACTCTGCTTTTTCCAGCTCCACCTTTCTAAGCCTTTCTTTCTTGGCTAAAGGCCTTAGTCTCTTGCTTCTGAGAGAATTGAGAGGAAGTGACAGGAGAGGCTATACCTTTGAAATACTTAGCCCAAAGCATGATGCCTCAGCCTTCAGACCTTACAAGGGCGAAATGTATCTGCTAGGTCAGATGCTGAGCTCATTAGGTTGAGTAATGAGCTAATCAGAGTCCAGACTCAACTGCCATTAAAAATACTTTGGTTTTGCTTATTACAAACAAGTATCTATACTGAAGTCTCCTTGACAGGCAACCCCCCCCCCCCCAATACCAGGGATGAAACCCAGGGGCACCACTGAACCACATTCCTAGCCCTTTTAGAGACAGGCCCGAAGCAACTCGGCAAGATCCTAAGTTGCTGAGGCTAACCTTGAACTAGCAATGCTCCTGCCTCAGCCTCCTGAGCTGCTGGGATTATAGGAGTGCACTATCACACCCTGCAACAGGCACATTAAAAAAAAAAAAAAAAGAATTACTATAAAATTAGAATGGAGATCCCCGGGTGATTCTGAAAAAGGGTCCTAACTGTTCACTAAGACCCTGGCACTTTGCCCTCAGCAGACACCAAGATCACTGAAGGGCTCCTTCAAACAGCTGCCCACCCTGTTCCAGAGGGTCTGACCCTGTAGGCATGGGGAGGGAAGGCAGACTTTGAGTCTGACAAACTCCAGGGTGGTGATGATATTGCCAGTCAATGGACCACATTTTGAAACCCACTTAACTAAGAAGAAAAAACTGGGCAGGGCTTAGCCACTCAGGAAATATCTGGGGAGAAAAAAACACCATCTCCCAGCCCTCCTTTTGCCATCAGGGAATAGCTTCCTCCATACTCCTCCCTTCTACCTTCTACCTGTCTCTTTCACCATGCAGGCCTTGCTCTTTCTCCTTTAAGCAGAGGACAGTCACAGTTTTAAATAAACAAAAACCTCAAGATCCCAAGGCTTAAAAAGGAGACACCTCAGAAAGCAAGGAGAGGCTAGGGGTATGTGTCTTTGGCCTACCCCAGTGTGTTCTGCGTTCTGAGAAATACCAGGGAAAATCTGAGCCAACCACAAATTGGCTAGGAAAACAGCCTGCAGAGTCAGGGTCTTCCCAAACCAGATAATGTGCAACACCTGAGTGTGCCCCGAATCCAGGGCTCCTTCAAACTTGGAGAACTGAGAGAAGAAAATCCTTGGCTTTACAGTAGTGTGTGTCCAGAGTTCAGCAGGGGGCTAATGGATTTAAATTGCACGGTTTAATAAGTTATATATATGTGTCCACTTAAAACATTTTAGCTGGAAGAGAGACTTCTGAATAGTAGAAATCACCTTTTCCCTTTGAAGGAGTTTAGTATTTGCTTTGAAAAATCACACATACACAGAGGTTTCTTTCAAATGCTGAAAGGTCTTGGAGAATTTTGTCCACGTTGCTCATTAAAAGAGGACCCGATGCGCCACATCCTTGATGTGGCGATCCTGCAATTTCTTTCAAAAGTTTCAGTGCTAGATTGGAATGTACATGTTCTGGGCTCCGAAGTTTGATTACTCATTCATTGATTCAATAGATATTTGTTGAGCACCAATGAAAATCCAGGTACTGGGTGAACAGTAATCAAAGGGAAAAGTCTTTGCTCTCCTGGAATGAATGTCTGACTACCAGGAAAGAAGAAATCAAAGAGCATAAATCACGAGAGATCCACAGGAGAGCTCTGCACGGCAGGGGAATATGGTTCTTCTGTACTGTGTTGTGAAGAAGCCTGGCTTGGCCTCAATTAAGAGAGGTGTCCTGAGAAAAGGACGCCCGAGTGGAGATGAAATGGAAGAGTGTATCCTAGGTGAGGTAACAGCCAAAGCAAGGCCCTGTGGCCAAGGAGAGCAGAGGAGCATGGGCGCTGGGATGCAGAGTAAGGGGCTGGCAGAAGTAAGAGGGGGCCAGATCACATAGGGCCATGGATGGATTCAAGAGTTTATTAGCTCAATTCACAATAGCTAAACTGTGGAACCAACGTAGACACCCTTCAACAGATGGATGGATAAAGAAACTGTGGTGTATATACACAATGGAATATTAGTTAGCATTAAAAGAGAATGAATTATGGCATTTGTAGGTCAATGGAGAATATCACATTAAGTGAAGTAAGCCAATCCCAAAAAACCAAAGGCTGAATGTTCTGATAAGTGGATGCTGATCCATAATAGAGGGATATGGGAAAAATGGAGGAACTTTGATAGGACAAAGAGGAGGGAGGTGTGGGAAGAGGGCATGAGGGGAGGAAACATGGTGGAATGAGATGGCCATCACATAATGGTGCGACGCTACATGGTATGCAACCACAGAAATGTAAAGTTGTGCTGCAGTTGTGTACAATGAATCAAAATGCATTCTGCTGCCATATATACCTAATTAAAATAAATAAAAAGAATATCCCCTCCATGGATTGCTTTAGATTACTAGTATGGTTGGTATGGGAAAAAAAGTTTCTAGGGCCTAAAGTTGACAGGTCTTAAGGGTAAGCTAAATATAGTGGGAAGGAGAGGGCAAGTTAGGGAGGACCCCCCAGGTGGGCGGGTGTTGTTCCTCTAGATGGGGCCAGGTGGGCCAGGTAGGGAGGGGCAAAGTCCTGTGCATGCTCTTGGATGGAGCAAGCGAGAGGAGGTAGCGCACTGCAGTCCCGTGCAAAGCAAGGGCTGAAAACACAGATGTAACAGCATTGAGGTCCTGAGTGAAGTCCTGGGACGGAAGATTTTCTGAGAAGACGAGAGAGAGAGAGAGAGAGAGAGAGAGAGAGAATCCCAAGGAACTTGGTGTATCAGAACACGGTGGGACAGAACCAAGAGAAAATGGTGTGGCACACACTGTCAAGAGCTGTGGGTTCCATCATGAGGACTACATGGAATTACCAGGGGATACAGACCGAGGGGGCTGAGGCAACAATGATGGAGACAAAGAGATACATCGAGTGCGGAAGATGCATAAAGATGTTTAGTGGCAAACTCCCCTCTTCCTGGGACTATACCAGTGAGGTGACTTGGAGGTCTCACGAGAGCACAAGTACTTGACATCATGCACCTCCAATCTTGAAATGATGCAGGCACATTAAAAGAGAAAGCAGTCTACCTGCATTTATTATAGAGCCGATTAGGTCTGGAAGTTATTACTAAATTGGTGGTGTAGGGGGTGTCCTCCCATCTTCTCCAGTTTTTCCCCCAAAGAAAGGCAGTTCTGCCTTCTTGGGAATTGAATGCTGTGTTGCTCTGTTACTGAGCTACATCCTCAGCCTTTTTTGAGACAAGGTCTAAGTTACCGAGGCTGCCCTCAAACTTTC